ACAGCAACAATTATGGGTTCATGTGGAACTGTCGACACTGTTATTAAATCTCTACACAGACAGTGATGATATATTTGTGTGATGCAGCCGCTCACTATATATTGCCTAACATCCGCTGCTAACATCCGCCGCAGGTTATCAGTCAGTCGTTCTGTTGTGCGTGCGTGTGTGCGCGTAGCATTGAACTGCGTAATCGAGGAATTTATCATTGGGAGTTTGCACTGCTGCAATGACACGTGATGCGGCGAGGGGAGCCTTAGCTAGCGCGTGTGACTATCATGACATGTGACTATCAATGTAGGTGGCGCAAGAGTTTTAGTGTTGTAGCGGGAGAAAAATAGTCGATGAATCGCGCTGAAAATCGCCTAGTGTGTCCACTCAGTCGCTGACTCAATCGACTGAAAAATCGCCTAGTGTGTCCCAAGCTTTAGCTCAACTACTGGTATCTCCCTCCCCTGGCCGGGGTGCAATTAAACCTTGAGTCTTGTCTTATTTGGCATCAGCCGCCACGTTAACATAAAGGCAAATGACTAACGCGTGCTCTTGAGAACGGTTAACCTTCCGCTGATTTTGCCGGCGTGTTAAATCGGACGGTATGTCTTGTAAGGAGGTCTACCTGATGCTTGGATGAGCAGTAATTGTTACAGATAATCATCACAGCTGCTGCACTGCGTGCGTGCGTGCGTACATGAACGCGGGGCCGGCTGTGTGTGCGCGTGCGTGCGTGCGTACATGCACGCGGGGCCGGCTGTGTGCGTGCGTGCGTGCGTGCGTACATGCACGCGGGACCGGCTGTGTGTGTGCGCGTGCGTGCGTGCGTACATGCACGCGGGGCCGGCTGTGTGCGTGCGTGCGTGCGTGCGTGCGTACATGCACGCGGGGCCGGCTGTGTGCGTGCGTGCGTGCGTGCGTACATGCACGCGGGGCCGAGTGTGTGTGGCGGAATCGAGACCGGTGTAAACTGTAATTAGCATTGCGAACTTGGTTTCACTAACAGAATAAACCGAGCTGGCTGGCGTGGCGTGGCGTGGCGTGGCATGGCGTTGTTTGCTGGGCTGCGCGTGCACGCGTGCATTGTGTGTTTGTCGCGCGCCTGGGTCGATAGTAGGCAGGTACAGCTGCAGGTTGAGTTCTGGTACACTCACAACGTTAAGTGACATCCTAGATAGAGAGAGGGAGAGAGGCAGAGAGGGAGGGTGGCAGGGAGGGTGCAAGTGCCTCGAAATAAGCGTTGTCCGGTTTGTCCGAAGAACAACCAAATTTATGCCGGACAACCTAGCCAGTCTGAGACATGTCCGTGGATCACCGCAAGAAAAAAAGTTGACAAAAAACGCACTTATAATTATTTTTCTCAGGGTTCTCCATTGAGGCACTTATAGCCTGGCAAAAGCCTGCCAATTAATTCATGGTGTGGAAAGCGCACATAACCCAGCTGCATTCTAACACTGGTCCCTTTCAGGTTTTCTGATTTAAGACGCCAGTGAACTCGATTTGGAACCAGCAAATCACAGCAAGTTCACAGCCCCTACATTTGGATTTTTATTCCCATATTATTTGAAATTTCCGATGTTTGCCCGATGCAAAACAAAACAACATGCAGTGGGATTCATTTATACCGAAAGTTCAATAAAAAAGAATTTTGTATCCGAATGAAGGCTTAATGTACCTCAAAAGTGCTGCAATACCATCCTCCATGCGATCTACATTTCAAAAAATTTTCTGGGGAGAACCCGCTCCATAGCCCGCCCCCCGCTGTTTTCCCCCTCCTCTAATCCCAGACCCGCCACTGAACAATTACATATCAATTGGAACACGAGAACATGAAAAAAATTTCTCCTTTTCACATGGCACGACCAATAAACAATATTGCAAGAGAAGTAGATGAGCTGTAGGTGTGGAGAGGGAGGCGGAGGAGGCATTAAAATATTAAGTATCCACTATTTAGCGCAGTTTTACTGTTTGGCCACCCTGTTAAAAAATTTGGAACTACACCACTTTTTGGGTTATTTCTGACCATAATTATTAGTGATTGAAAAAATAAGGAGATTTGGGATATTTTTTGGGACATACCATAAATTCGTTGCTTCGGACAACCTGATTTGATGCTGGTTGCTCTGCAAGACAACCGACATTTTTTTCTATTTCGAGCAACTGGCTAATAAGAGAAGAGGAGAGAGGACAAGAGGGAGGGTGGCAGGGAGGCGTGTTTGGTAGGTGCGAACTAGATAACGACGTGAACGATGGATGGATGGACGATGGATGGATGATGGGGAGGGATGACAGAGTGAAAGATGCACGCTGAGTGCAAGCGAGAACTTAGGCCTGTGTACCAGTCCATCCCCTATATAATATCTACAATATATTCTTGAATTTTTGTGTCTCGCAGCAGTCAACTAACTGACCTGTGGAATGGTTCACAACTTCACATTAACCGCATACGTGTTTTTCGTTTCTCGCAGCATGGTTGAATAACCGTGGATATGTGTTCCTGTTTTTTAATCGCATACGTGTTTTTCGTTTCTTGCAGCATAGTTGAAATAACGGATCCAAAAACAAAATATAGGTGTGGTTAAACGTTTTCCGACCGACCACTATTATTCCCCAGCCGACCGCCTAAACCATATTATGTCAATTCTTAAAAGTATAAAAAAAAAAAAGAATATGGATCAAGTTCCTTGCTTCAAGTCGCAACGCACATTTCTTACGGACATGTTCGAAAATAAAATAATTTCAAGAAAATAAAAGATTTCCCGCTACCTACCTATACCTACCTATTTTTTTAGTCCGGGCAAGTAACGATAACGCACATTAAGCATATATTGGTTTGCCCCCTTAAAAACAACAGTGATGTGAGTCATGCAACCGCTACCCGTACATGTTTTCGTTCTTGCATGGGTTACTGTTACACTAACAACTTAACGCTGATAGCTCTATGGTCCCCGGGTACTTGCCGAACGTACCTCCGTACGGCTCCGGTAATAGCCGGATCCCCCCCACACCCCCTCCACACACACCCCCACCCCCACCTCGCCCACCTCGTCACCTCACCGGACTCTATACCTCGCCACCCTACTCCCTACAACCCTCACGACCGTAACCGACACCTGAAACCTACATCCTCAACCCCCTAACCCCATATCCACCATAATATCAAATGAATTCCGGCCTATACCCACCGCGCCCCCACCCCTACCCCAGGACGCGCCGCACCGCCCACCCCCCCCCTGCGGCGCGCATACGACCCTCCACTCCACACCCCCACTAACACACACCACCCACCCCCCTCTCCCACCCAACCCCCCCCCCCACCCCACGCCCTTCACCCGTCTCCTCTCCGTTCTTAGCAGCGGCGGCCCTTCTGCAAGAACCTCGCAGTCCCAACCCACGTCAGCCGCGCTACCGTCCCTAGTAACTCGCACACACATTCCACCCCCCAACACCCGCCCCACCCCGCCCGACCCAACTCGCAGCGCAGACTACCGACATCCGGACAAACAGAACCGTCGACGCTCAACCTCCACGCTCTCTCTCCTCATACAGAACCCCACGCCGCCCAGCGCCCTCACTGCGCCCCCCCCGCACAATTAACATCGCATGTGTGCAATGTCTTGTTACATTCCCCCACCAAAACCCAACCGCCATTGTCAAAATAGCTGTAAATATTTGGGGAATACCCACCAAAACCCTCGCCCTCCCCGCAGCAACACGAAGAGCGCGTATCACCTCTACACCCCCGCGGCGCCAGCGATGCGTGACTAAGGCACGCTTTTGAATCCATCATGCACATTTTTTTTGCCCGCAAACTGCCGTCTTACCGCATCCTTTGTCTGATTTTCCCATTAGAAGAAAACCTGAACGTAATCATGCCCATACGCCACGGCACCAAGAGAGCAGATGAGCTAGCTGTGGCGGCCGTGGTGTGTTAGGTAGTTTGGCGTTGGGCTAGTGGTGCCTGTAATGTGGTAGCGTAGTGTCTGGGCATACTAATATAATATGTGTTTGGGCGTGTTGCTTAAGTGTCTGGGTGTGTGTTAGGTGGTCTCTGACGTGGCTAGAGCTGGGGTGGGGTGTGGTAGTTAGGTGACTCTTGTAGTGGTGGGAGCTAGGTGTTTCTGGGCTGGTGTGTGTTTGTGGCTAGGTGTTTGGACACGTGGTACCACATTGGATCGGGCATTTTAATTGAACTATTAAACAATACCTAATGAGTATAGGGATAAGATGTGAATTCACAATCACGATCAAATATCATTTATAATATACAATAACCCTCCACCCTCATAACTAGTATACACACAGTTGAATGGGTATTTATATGAGTTTTACAATTAATTACTGCATACTATCTAATTAAACCATGCGGAATGTGAACACAGATAGTTTATCAAATCAAATTCTAATATAAATAAACCAAGGAATCATAATAGTCTGCACAAGTGCTTGGGGTTTTATACTGAAGTCTACAATTAAATTTTTATCCTGCATCTTATCCTAATTAAAACATCGTGATGTGACACAGATAGCCCTGATGCAACCACTATCCACATCATGATTGTCTGTTTTCTCCACGGTAAACCGTCAGTTGAATTGGAGACAATTAGCCGATAGATCTAAGACTTGGAGAGACTGAGTAATTGCGATCAGCCGCGACCGAAACTCACATTTTTCGGTCGGCTGACTCCGCGCCTTCGCGAGCGTAACCATGGGAACCATCACAACCGTTCACTAACTCCGGCGACAATCATAATGCTTCTATTACTTAATGCTGCTCAGCGATGGAGGAGACTGCGTAAGCTACAACGCAATTAAAACCCAGCCACGTAGGAGGACCAG